TTTTTTTTTTTTTTTGTAATACTGTTAGCCCGCTATATCCTCAGATTCTTCACTTGTTTGTTTGTTTGTTTTTGTGTGTCTTACTGATGACAAGTCATCATTTTCAAGCTTTTATTATTTATTGATTTATTTATTTGGCTAGTTAGTAATTGAAGAGCCAGTGTGGTGTAGTGGTTTGAGTGTTAGATTACAACTCCAAAGACCAGGGTTCGAATCTCCACTCAGCCATGGAAACTTCTTGGGTGGCCTTCTGCAAGTCACATTCTCTCAGCCTCAAAGGAAGGAAAGAGGAAACCCCCTCTGAACAAATCTTGCCAATAAAACCCTGTGATAGGTTCGTCTTAGGGTCATCCTAAGTCACAGATGACTTGAAGGCACACAACAATAGTTAGTAATTCAGTCACCCACATATACCCTGCCATTCTGGTATAAAAGATTAACTGAAGGAAGCTTATACCATGTAAAAATTACTATTTCAATAAAATCATCCAGGAATCTGGGTCCAGCATACACCAGTGTAGGCAGGGGCAGGAGATGGAAAGGGTGGCAGACACCATGTTCCCAAAATAAATGAGGCATTGGATAAATAGGTTGTTTGGAGCTAACAGATTTTGTCTGCCTTCCCACGCCAGTACTACATGACACTGTACTTTCTACTAGCGTAATGCACCAATTAGATTGTGGGCAGAGTGAGTAGCTAAAGTCAAACCATAAAACATCTGTTATATATAACCAAAACTTGCCAGAATAAACCAGGCTTCAGCAATCAGCAAAGGATTGTGTGAACCAAATGCCATGAAACAAGTCATTCTGTAATCTGGGTACATATACTGAGATACCTACTTCTCTATAGCTTGTTTTTGTCATGCATGTGCTTAACATGCTAAACTGGGCCAGGGGAATATGATAACATGTTTTGAAATCTTCTCCCCCAAATGGCATTAAACTCAGTATGCACCAGCAGAGAGAGAAACCCCCTTTGGGATGGCCTGTTAAATGCCTTTGTCACTTCAACACATTTTAATGCTACATTTTAAATGAAGGCAGAAGGAATGTGATTAATTCCCAGTGAGGATCACCCTCTTTTACATTGCACAGCAAAAGCCTGCAGTCGTCTCCTTGTCAGAATCAGTTGCCCTCCTGTAACCCTTCCTTGTCACTTTAAAGAAGATGAAAAGCAACAAAGCTTTAATTAATTACTGCCTCTTTTGGAACAAAAAAGGAGGGAGCTTTTTGGCAGCACCAAGCAGGCATGTATGATATCATCATAATATATCAGTGCAATTAAATTCAGATAACAATCAGTGGTGGTTGGTGGCGCCTCAAGTAAAAGAGGTTGCATGCCACCAGTGGGTTTTCCCCTGACATTTTCACACATATATACTGGATTGGTGTGTGTTTGTGTGTGTATCACAAGCACACATACACCATTTACACAGACAGACAATACTTTTGTGTGCAGACCCCTCACAGATTCCACCCTCACAGAAAGAAAAGGAAAAGAACCACCAAAGTGGGGCTTGCTGGCCAGTCAGGTTTAAACTTGTCATTCAGGAGGCCTCCGTGGGGATACAAACCAGGACTTCTCTGCAGCCCAGCTAAGCTATGAAGATGTCCTGCTTATTTTCCCTGTTGTACCATACTGAAGATGATGATTGCAAATTCTCCAATACTTAGCTGAGTGGTAGAGACCCAATTTTCATCATTTAGCATGCCACATTGAAAATAAAATCTGGAACCTCTTTACAGCTGAGCAAAACTGTGGAAAATTACTTTTT